TGCCGGACCTCAACCACGCCCAGCCACGCCCAGTGTTCCCTGCCGGACCTCAACCACGACCAGCCACGCCCAGTGTTCCCTGCCGGACCTCATCTGCGAGTATCCATGCCAAGTGTTCCCTGCCGGACCTCATGTAGGAAGATATGGGACAAAGAATGTGCAGAAGAAAGCTAGAAAGAATGTCATAAAGAATGTCAGAAGACATGCCAGAAGATATGCCAGATAGAATGCCAAATAGAATGCCAGATAGAATGCCAGATAGAATGCCAGAAGATATGTCAGAATATATGCCAGAAGATATGCCAGATAGAATGCCAGAAGATATGTCAGATAGAATGCCAGAAGATATGCCAGATAGAATGCATCAGATTTGCCAGATAGAATGCCAGAAGATATGCCAGAAGATATGCCAGATAGAATGCCAGATAGAATGCCAGATAGAATGCCAGATAGAATGCCAGAAGATATGCAGATAGAATGCCAGATAGAATGCCAGAAGATATGTCAGATAGAATGCCAGAAGATATCCAGATAGAATGCCACGAAGATTTGCCAGATAGAATGCCGAGGATTTCCGAAGATATGCCAGATCATATGCCAGAAGATATGCCAGATAGAATGCCAAATAGAATGTCAGAAGATATGTCAGATAGAATGCCAGAAGATTTGCCAGTAAGAAAATGTATAAATGTCATGGTGGGGATCACACGAAGTAAAGTAATTTTTACTGCCAAAAAAAACTGGACACAATAGAGGACCACCACAACAAACACACTATTGAGGATCAAGGTTGCTCATGAACAAAACTGTAAAAATTGAAAAAAACTTCAGACAACAGTTGGACACAATAGAGGACCACCACAACAAACACATTATTTAGGATCAATATTGCTCATGAAAAAACTGACAAATATTCAATTACTTTACTTCGAGTGATCCCCACCATGACATTTCAAAACAGCTTGTTGACACCACTTTTGTCCTGGCATTCTATCTGGCATTCTATCTGGCATATCTCCTGGAATATCTTCTGACATATCTTCTGGCATTATATCTGGCATATCTTCTGGCATTCTATCTGACATGCTATCTGGCATATCTTCTGGCATTCTATCTGGCAGATCTTCTGGCATTATATTCTGACATATCTTCGGGCATTCTATCTGGCATTCTATCTGGCATTCTATCTGGCATATCTTCTGGAATATCTTCTGGCATATCTATCTGGCATATCTTCTGGCATATTTTCTGGCATTCTACCTGGCAAATCTTCTGGCACTCTATCTGACATTTTATCTTCCTACATGCGGTCCGGCAGGGAACACTTGGCATGGATACTCGCGGTTGAGGTCCGGCAGGGAACACTGGGCGTGGATGGCCGTGGTTGAGGTCCGGCAGGGACCACTGGGCGTGGATGGCCGTGGTTGAGGTCCGGCAGGGAACACTGGGCGTGGATGGTCGTGGTTGAGGTCCGGCAGCGCACACTGTGGATCGCGAGTCGCAGTTGAGCAGGAGGACGAGGAGGACAACGAGGACGACGAGGACAACGAGAGGACGACAAGGATGACAAGGAGGAGGAGAGGAGGAGGAGGAGAGGAGGAGGAGAGGAGGACGAGGCAGGAGGAGGAGGAGGAGGCAACTGACATAAAATCTAACAACCCTCACCTGGCAGGTGGGGAACAAAAAAACTGAAAAAAAAGTATAATCAAAACACATAATAAAGAAAAAAAACAAAAACATGAAATAGATTAAGCAACAAATTAAGAAATAATTTAAAACAATTTCAAAATATTAATAAGAAAAAAAACTGAAAATACACCAAACAAAAAATTCAACAAAACCGATCCACCCAATCATTTTCCCTGGGTCTGAAAAATTTCAGAAAAATCAACAAAAGCGACCTACCACACTAATCAGGATCCCACATTAATCACTTTTATAATCAGGATTTGAGACTATCCATTTGTAAAGCCTCAAACATGATCCAGCACACCATCAAAACAGGTTTTCGATATAAAGGAATTTCATTTTCTTAAATGTATAGACTTACTTATGGAACTGCATTATATATATATATACACATGCGTTTGCACTTATATTTATAAATGCATACAATTATTTACATAAATATGTGCAATCCGTTTGATTGAATTGTAGTGACGCCATTTGGAAGTTATTGGGGCATCAGGTTGAAGCGCCCTACGAAATAATTGATTCAGTTTACTTGGAGGTTTCCAGTTTCCAGTTATGTTTCATGTTCATTTGGATCGGATCCCGCTCCAGTCCCAAAAGGACCCGGTGATTTCCGCCACGTTTGAGGAGACCATGTGGCTTCAGCTGGTGGCAGATATGCGCAAATTTCCACTTTCTTGGAACGCCCATCTACACAAGGACTGGTGGTGAGCATGATGATGAGGCAGCAGTTGTACTCATGATTATATATATAATATAATATATACATATATAATTTATATAATTATATACAATACATGTATACAACCTCCGGTCATCAAAGGTAGCAATGAACAATTCCCTTCAATAAATGGATGTTTTTTTGCTGGGAAACCATCTACAAACCGGCAAAATTTCCATTGCCACATTTGATGATTGGGGGGGTATTAGTGTAGTGTATAATGCATGTTTGATGACCGTCAGAACATTTGAGTTTTATTATCAATGAGAATTTCAGCATCCCAATATAATGGAGGTACTGTACCATATAAGGCCATATTTTGTGGCGATATTCCCTTATATAGCCCTTGCATAGGCCTTATATATGGCAGGGACCTCCAATCAATCGGTTCCCGAGATGGCCAGTGATATTAGGTGCATTTTTTTGTGGTCAACCCATAAAGTTTCCTGTGCCATTTGGGTCAGATCAAGGCCCGGAATCGCTACAGGAATGTTCATAAATTGTGATCCAATGAGTTAAACTGGCGGTTTGCTAGGATAATTAATGGGATGTACATGGATGTACCACTTGGTAGTTTAGTATAGCTATGGAAAAAAGCATGAAAAACACCGTTTTGAAGAGATGAATCATGGAACCAAATGGGCCATCTATACTTTAGCAAAGTGTTGAAAAGTGTAGAAAAAAAGGCGCCTGCAAGGTGGTACTCTCTCAGTTTTAAGTTGGTCTGTAAACATATACTATACACTGTATACATTTATGGTGGTTTCCATAAATGGAGGTACCCCAAAATGGATGGTTTATAATGGAAAATCTTATTAAAATGGATGATTTGGGGGAACCCCTATTCTAGGAGACCCCCATATATATATATGACATTATATGACATAGATTGTTCGATATCTACCCAGATGTACCCGCCGTAAACTCGAGTTATAAGGGTTCTAAACCAAAACTATCCAAAACTGCTTTTCCCAAAACAGGGGCACCACGGCACATAAATCTTTGTCACGCTGGCACCCAAGAACAACTTATAGCAACTACGTTGCTACCAGAGTGTCCAGGAAAGTCTGTCAAGGAGAGTCTGTCCATAAAAAGGGGCGAGCACTTGCTTGTGCACTTATGATTTGCCTCGCTTGTGCACTTGCGATTCTCCTCGCTTGTGCACTTATGATTTTGTATGATTTTGTTGTCGATGCCATTCGGATGCCAGCCTCCTGTGGGTACCCCATTTTTACGGGGAATTTTTTTCTTCCTCCCCGGGGAATTTTCCCGGCTAAGTTCCCGCAGACTGGTGTGCCAGGAAGCAAGGCAGCAAGCAAGCAAGCAAGCAAGCAAGCAAGCCAGCCAGCCAGCCAGCAAGCCAGCCAGCCAGCCAGCAAGCAAGCAAGCAAGCCAGCCAGCAAGCCAGCAAGCCAGCCAGCCAGCCAGCCAGCAAGCAAGCAAGCAAGCAAGGCAGCAAGCAAGCCAGCCAGCAAGCCAGCCAGCCAGCAAGCCAGCAAGCCAGCCAGCCAGCCAGCAAGCAAGCAAGCAAGGGAGCCAGCGAGCAAACCAAGCAAGCAAGCAAGCAAGCAAGCCAGCAAGCAAGCAAGCCAGCCAGCAAGCCAGCCAGCCAGCAAGCCAGCAAGCCAGCAAGCCAGCAAGCCAGCAAGCCAGCCAGCCAGCAAGCAAGCAAGGGAGCCAGCGAGCAAACCAAGCAAGCAAGCAAGCCAGCCAGCAAGCAAGCAAGCTAGCAAGCCAGCCAGACAGCCAGCCAGGCAACCAGCAACTGTACCACTGTACCACTGAAATTATTGTTGCCGTGGCGGGTCGGTCGTGATGGTTGGTGCTAGGATACCCAGAATGGGAAAGTGATATGTCCAGATGGCAGTGATCATAATAAATGTTATACCATGGAAAAAGAAACAAAGTGATGTGAAATTCAAAAGTTGCAAAGAAAAACCTGCAACTTTGGCGATCCAGGTATGTATATATGCATATGTACAGGTTGTCATTTAGATACATATTTTGTGGCTATTTATTTGCGCATATCCAACAAAAACAACAGCAACAACAGTAACAACAACCATAACAACAATAAACACAATAACAACAACGATCACAAGAGCAAGCATCACAACAACAATCATCACAACCACAACAACAACAACAACAACAACAACAACAACAACAACAACAACAACAACAACCATCACAACAACAACAACAACCATCACAACAACAACAACAACCATCACAACAACAACAACAACAACAACAACAACAACCACAACCACAACCACAACCACAACCACAACCACCACAACAACAACAACAACAACAATCACAACAACAATCACAACAACAACCATAGCAACAGCAAACATCACAAGAACAAACATCGCAACAACAAACATAACAAAGAAACAGCAACAAACATTACAACAACAGACAGCACAACAACAAACATAACAGCAACAAACGTAACAACAAATACAATAACATAGAAGGTTCCAGCTCCCAAATTCTACGAAGAGCACGCAAACTGAAAGGTTCCTGCGCGCAAATGCGGCAAACAGCATGATAAATAGAAGGTTCCTGCGCCCAAATGCGGCAAATAGCATGCAAAATAAAAAGTTCCAGCGCCATAATGCTGCAAATAGCATGCAACATGGAAGGTTCAGCTCCAAAATGCTGCAAATAGCACGCAAAATGAAAGGTTCCAGCTCCAAAATGTTGCAAATAGCATCCAGCATGGAAGGGAAGTGGCACGATAGATGCAGGGGACGGAAAACAGAACAGATCAGGAAAAAAATTCCCCGGGGCAGGAGAAAAAAAATCCTGGCGAGATTCGGCACTCCTCCTGTGCCATGGGGCACAGTAAGCTGTTAGTTTTAGACATGCATGTCCTGTTTGGTACAAAAATGTTTGCATTATTGTTGGGGTCAATGGTGTTTTGCATTGTTAATGCAAAACATGTGGAACTGCTGCGTCAATACGGGTTTGATCTAAGGGTTGAAAAGTCTTGCCTGTCAAGTTTGACTGGTATCTTGTTTATGACCCCCCCTCCCCCCCGTTCCCCCACCCCCCTCGCCCCTTGTTCCCATATGCAACCCCCCCCCCCTCCCCCCTCCATCCCCCCCCCCCTCCCCCAACCCTATTGCACCCCCCCCCCCCCCCCCTTTCCCCCCTCCCCCCCCATTTCCCCCTCCCCCCTCTCCCCCCCTCCCTCCCCCTGTTCCCCCCTCCCCCCCTTGTTCAGGTAAGTGCGCAAGTGAGTGAAATTTGGTGGTGAAGTGCGCAAGTGAGGGTAAGTGCGCAAGTGAGTGAAATCCTAAGTGCGCAAGTGAGGGCTTTGCCCATGAAAAGGGCCAACTAAATAGGACTTCTACCGTATTGAAGATTGGGGGTAAGGGATTCGTACATATTGGCTGTAGTGTTGTAGTGTTAATGGCCTCATACATCTCCATTATGAAATTCTTTATTGACCCTTCAATCCTGTATCATGTGAATCTGAAATGAAACTCAGCTCCCTAATAAAATCGACGATATAAATTAGACAGTATGAAACATGCCATTGCCAGAGGCTGTTTCCAATTAATATTTCTCATGAAACCACCATTTATGTAGCACATCACCATTTAACTGTACCCCCAACATCTCCCAAATGCCGTGGCATTCCGTGGCGGTTTGTCTTCCAGGACTTGAGAGGTGCACTTTTGGGGCGTCAACTGCATTTAGCCCAACGCTTTGCTCGCTCCCCCGGCCTCCGACGCCGATTGGATCAGGACAGTGTCAGATCTTTTTGTGGGAATTGCTTACGGGATGACTAGCTGCACCAGGGCCTATGGTAACATACATTATATATATATATATATGCACATACAGATTGCATATAACTATATAATGCATTCGGATTGCAAACCAACTTTTAAAGCAACTTCTATTACAGTATTATGTAGATATTTCATAATGCAGATACATTTAATGTGCACTGATTATGGCAACGAGCTACTGGCCATGGAGGAATCTAGATGATGTAACGTTTGCCAGGCGCCAGTGCATTTGGAATACCCACACGGTGGTGCCTCCCAGATCTGTTTGTTGCCTTGTAAATTGTTTTTCTGTAAGTATTAGTGTTTTATGTGTGTATATATATATATGTATATACGCTCAACGACTGGGCTTTGCCCAGGTCTTGCAGCGTAGAGGGTCCCCATTCCCAATCAAATGTTGTTGCAACTTTGCATTCCATTGGGAAGATCGACAAAGGTATTAGGGAATATTAAAATCCCACCCCAGTTAAATTTCTACATTCATTGAAGATCTTCGATAAGGGTTTAATTCTCCCACCCCCGTTAAATTTATACATTCATTGAAGATCTTCGATAAAGGTTTAATTCTCCCACCCCCGTACAACTTCTACATTCATTGGAGATCTTCAATAAGGGTTTGATGATGATGATGATGATGATGATGATGATGATGCGCTGCCTGTCGTGGTTGCGGTTCCGGGCAAGGCCCAGGCATTGCCGTATATATATATATATACTGTATATATATATTGATATATTGATGTAGGTATGTATGTATGTATGTATGTATATATATGTGTGTGTGTATGTATATATTTATATTTGCATATTAATCTATTTTTCGAGCTTTTTTTTTTAAATATATATATATATGTGGCAGGGACCTTTGGGGTCTATTTCGTTCCTCCCCACACAAACGTAATCAAACGTAATTCTATTTGCAAATATACTATACACATAAGTAAATATGTCTACATGTGTGTACAAGTTCAACAGAAAGTCGCAATTTTTCCCTTCCCCCTCAACCTGCGCAGCGTCCGTTTTCTGCTCCAAGAGATGCTGTCACCAGCACGCGCGAACGCACGCCAATTTGAACTCTGGGCAGAAGAGTCCTCCAGTGTCAATTGTGTTGTTTTCCATCCCTGCAAGCTACAAAGTTTGGGAATGCGCATGCAAGTTTGGAACTCTTGTGCGCTCATGCATGGGAATGTTTTGGCTGTCAGGAGTTTGTAGTTGTTCAACTGGTTGCATGCTTAGTAAGAAGCATAGTTTTATAGAAAAAACACCTTAAAGGAACCTCATGGGCATGTAACACAAGCAACAAAGCAATGCAAACATGTTCCACCACTTCCACCTGTAGTGATGAAGAGGGAGGGTGATGGCGGCCAACCCCCTTCATTTTGTCATACTCATCACTTCATTGTTTTTGGCCCCGCTGTCGTCCCCTCTCAGGATCCTTCGAATGAAGAAGAGTTGCAAAAGCAGACCTTGGACCTCTTGGTGAACTTTGCATACAGGCTGCAGATGGATGGCCTGATGCCTGACCTGCCAGAACAGCCACCAGGTGAGCCCAGTAGTGGATCTGGTTTTCTGCGAGAAGTGGAAGGTTCCAAAGCCAAACACCCAGGTGCACCACTACTTGAAGCTTCTATGGCAATGGCACCTGGCCCAAGTCCAGGTATCTGCGCGTCTTCACCAGCCAGTGCAACTACGGTTTTGCCAGTTCAACCTGATGTTGGTTTGTTGGCACCTGCCACTCCTGAAGTACCCCTCTGAGGCTTCAGCAGCATGGCATGCATCCCCAAAGAACTACCTGGTCCAGTTCCAGAAGCAATGGGGGAGGTTGACCTGTACTCCTGACCAGGTGAAGAAGCTTCTTTATTGCACCAAACAAAAAGGCTCTCAAGCTTCGACTGGGTCTTCGTCTACTCAAGATGTATCTGATAGGAAAGTCATACATTTTCTCAAGCATCATATGTTTCTATGGTTTTGCTTTCTGTGTGGGATTCAAGTTTCTTGATCTATGCATTTAGTATTGTTCATTCTCAAGTACCAGAGTTCGTGCCTCCTCGAGGAACTTCTAGTGGAGGTTGGTTCAGGAAAGTTTCTGGGCTAGTAGTTGCTTGGAAGCTTGGAGAAGTGCACAGGATGAGATGCCTACTATAACGATGGGAAGAAGTTTCACGGGTGAAGGCGTATGTGGCAGCTTTGGTGGGCTACGTCAAAAAGTGTGGACGGCAAAAGAACTTGGAGGGTGAGTATGGCTTGAACACTTGTACTCGCTTAAGATCTTACTGACTCCAGCAAAGCCTGGGTGGTGAAAAAAAACCTTATATCAAACTATCAAACAATAAGAATTTCAATTCTGTTTGTAAATTGAAAATCAAGCAGTCGCAATTTTCAATTCAGAAATCGAAATTGAAAATCTACCAGTCACCATTTCAATTCAGAATTTAAATTGAAAATCAAACAGTCGCCATTTAAATTCAGAAATCTAATGGAAAATCAAACATTCACCATTTCAATTGAGAAATCTAAATTGAAAATCAAACACTCACCATTTCAATTCAGACAGTCCCATTTCAATTCAGAAATTTAAATTGGACAACAAACAGTTGGCATTTCAATTCAGAACCTTAACTTGAACCTACAATAGTATATTTTACTTTTCAGATTTTGATATTAATTTGGTTTACTATTTGGCACAACTAACATAATATAATGTAGTTTTTACATAAGCAGCCTTTAGGGCTTTCATTTTTAAGCCAAAAAGCACATTGATGCTTTCATTTTTTGAAGCTGTCACAAGTATAGCACATTGATGCTTCAGGTTTTGGTGTTCCATTAGTGCATCAGACATGTGTCCTTTGCATTTTTCTTGTCAAGCTGTAAGCTGTCAGGATGTCCAGTAATAGGGGTCAGGCACGGGGTTCAGCCACTGATCCAATGGTATCTCGACAGTTTCGAACCTGGACCTCATCCAATGGATGGAAGAGCCTCTGTGATGTGGAGATTCATCAATCAGGTTTTGATTCTTGATTACCAGGCTGAAATTCATCATGTTTTTTAAGCATACGGGAACTCAGGTAGTATGAGGATAGAAGTAAACAAATTGCTCGCTTGCTCAGGCAGGATGCTCTTGAGCACTTCAAGCAGAATGAAGGCCCACATCTTTTGCCTGCCAGCCTGGAGAACTTGATCAAAATCAGTTACATGTTGGCTGGGGTCCCTGTTCCTTTTGGCGATGCTATCTGCGCCTGATAGCTGCAGCTGTATGCCCATAGTGCATGGCAAGCCTGGATGAAAACATACTTGGGTGGAATCAAAATACTGTGGGAGGAGAAAAAATATTTAAAAAAAACACCATGTGGTGTACTTGTTCCCCACCTGCCAGGTGAGGGTTGTTAGATTTTATGTCAGTTGCCTCCTCCTGCCTCGTCCTCCTCTCCTCCTCCTCCTCGTCCTCCTCGTCCTCCTTGTCATCCTTGTCGTCCTTGTCGTCCTCGTCGTCCTCGTCGTCCTCCTCGTCCAACTGCGACCCGCGATCCACAGTGTTCTCTGTCGGACCTCAACCACGACCATCCACGCCCAGTGTGCCCTGCCGGACCTCAACCACGACCATCCACGCCCAGTGCCCAGTGTTCCCTGCCGGACCTGAACCACGACCATCCACGCCCAGTGTTCCCTGCCGGACCTCAACCGCGAGGATCCATGCCAAGTGTTCCCTGCCGGACCTCAACCGCGAGTATCCACGCCAAGTGTTCCCTGCCGGACCTCATGTAGGAAGATATGGGACAAAGAATGTGCAGAAGAAAGTTAGAAAGAATGTCAGGAGATATGCCAGATAGAATGCCAGAAGATATGTCAGAATATATGCCAGAAGATATGCCAGATAGAATGCCAGATAGAATGCCAGAAGATATGTCAGATAGAATGCCAGAAGATATGCCAGAAGATATGCCAGATAGAATGCATCAGATTTGCCAGATAGAATGCCAGAAGATATGCCAGAAGATATGTCAGATAGAATGCCAGAAGATATGCCAGATAGAATGCCAGAAGATTTGCCAGATAGAATGCCAGATAGAATGCCAGAGATATGTCAGAATATATGCCAGAACATATGCCAGAAGATATGCCAGATAGAATGCCAGATAGAACGCCAGAAGATATGTCAGAATATATGCCAGAAGATATGTCAGAATATATGCCAGAAGATATGTCAGATAGAATGCCAGAAGATATGTCAGAATATATGCCAGAAGATATGCCAGATAGAATGCCAGATTGAATGCCAGAAGATATGCCAGAAGATATGCCAGATAGAATGCCAGATAGACTGCCAGAAGATTTGCCAGATAGAATGCCACAAGAAAATGCCAGAAGATATGCCAGATAGAATGCCAGATAGAATGCCAGAAGATATGTCAGATAGAATGCCAGAAGATTTGCCAGTAAGAAAATCTATAAATGTCATGGTGGGGATCACACGAAGTAAAGTATTTTTTTTCTGGCCCAGTGGCTTTTCCTGCTATTTTGAAACTATTGTGGTTTATGCCCAAGGGGCTTTCATGTAAAGGTCCAGGGTTGGGTATGAGAGCCCACTGAGATTTATATGCTTCTAACCTTAAAGGGTCCCAGAACCCATTTCCACCTACTCTTGCTAAAGGTTTTGCTGATAGGGCTTTCATTTTATTGTGTAAACTAAATTGTTTCTGCCCAAAGGGGCTTTCATGTAAAGGCTTAAACTCCTTTATCCCATGCCCAAAGGGGCTGTCATAATTCTAACTTTGAAGGTTAGCAGAATCAATTCTCTCCTGCTTCTGCTGCAGTGGGCCCATAGGAATTATGAGCTCACCTTAGCCTAGATCCTTTGATCACCATGGCTACTTGGGACGTTGAGGACTTAGTCAAGGAGATTAGTGATATGGAAGCGATTTACCAAAGGAACGCTGGTTCACAGCTGGTGCCAC